TACGGCAGAATGTCAATCTCACAACATTACGAAATTTGGATTACAATCAAGATTTTGTTTGTTTTGAAGGGCGGTGGCCATTGAAATGTCTCTCCCACATCAAAATGAAGAAGAAGTTTAGCAGGCATTTTCTTAAGAAATTCCTTTTAGTATTAATGTCGCGGTGCAATGAGCTGCAAGAATGTTATAAAGACTTATAGACTATTTGGAAGCACGGCCTCAATATTTTGTCTATTATCCTTAATGTTTACAGATACGATGACGATATTCTTGCAGCAGCTGCTATATGTAGTACCACAAGAAGACATCGAGTTGTAATCAACTGTCTACGACATCGACTGTTTGAAGATTCGTCTTCCGACAGACAGCTGGATAAAATATTTACTTTTCAAAATTTGGGAAACATTTTACCCACGATCTGGTAAACTCTTACACATTGTTTTAGAATATAGAGAGTAGTCAGGGGCAAGGTGCAAGGATTCGAGAGAGGGACAGCAACATGGTATGGGAGTGCGTCGGAAATAGAGGGGAATGCATTGATCCTTGTACGTATATAACATGGGAGCTGCCACTATACCCCCCCCCCCCTAAAAAAAAAAAAAAAAAAAAACTCACACAAATACGTTATAGGGGCGCCTCATATTCCGCTACTGAGTTTGTCGAATTTATATTTTGATATGTGATAATGATAATAATGACAAAAACAATAATAACAATACTACTATTACTGCAACTATTCCATCAACACCACCGCCACTACTACTACAACTACTACTACTACTACTACTACTACTACTACTTGTATTACTAGAACTACTACTACTACTAATAGTAATAAAAAAGGTGCTTATAAAGCGATTACCACCGAAATCTCTAAAAAATACACTGATAAATAATTACATATTAAACAAAACAAAAAGAAAATGCAAATAAACCTACAAATTACAATGGTTCTAGGACAATTACCCCCTGGGCAATCACCCCCAAGGACAATAATCCCCCGGAAAATTACCCCCCGGAGAATTACCCCCCCGAGGACAACTACCCCCTGAGGACAATTACCCCCCGGCTGCATTCGGACTTGAATTAAGAGTAGAGAACGATACAACGAATCGTCTTCTTTCTCTAATAAGTTAATGAAACGTGAAAGCTTCGCGCGGGATAGGCGAAATGATTTCAGACAAGGATTCAGAGTAGAAAACGGTACTACAACGAAATTATATATGAAACGTGACAGCTTTCGCGCTTCGCGCGGGAGGGGGCTCAGGGGGGAGACTGAATTTAGACTAGGAATAAGAGTCGAGAACGATACCACGAATGATCTTCTGTCTTTAATGATTTAATGAAACGCGAAAGCTTCCGCGCTTCGCGCGGGTGGGGGGCAACTGAATTTAGACTAGGATATAGAAACAAGAACGGTACAACAAAATTATTTATGAAACTTGAAAGCTTCCGCGCTTCGCGCGGGAGGGGAGAGACTGAATTCAGACAAGGATTAAGAGCCGAAAACAGTACAAAGAATCGTCTTCTTTCTCTAATAATTCAATGAAACGTCATAACTTCTGCGCTTTGCACGGGAGGGGCGACACAAGAATTAAGAGTCGGGAACGATACAACGAATCGTCTTCTTTCTCTAATAATTTAATGAAGTGTCAAAGCTTCCGCGCTACGCGCGGGTGACGGAAAACTGAAAAAATAACTTAGTTCCTGGTCCCGGGTTAATAGTGTTAAATTTGTAGACATTGGGACATTGGAATTAATGTACTTGTCGGTAATTGGTGGCTCGTTTTGTCGGTAATCGGTGGCCTCCACACCCCCCTACTGAAAAGGGTATAGCGATCGACGCCTCTGATAACAACACAGTTTATACACTCGAAATAATTTTTGCAAGTTTTACTGGTGAAGTACCAGGCCCAGGGGCGGATCCAGCCGACGGCAGGGGAGGGGGCCGAATTCGTGAGAAAATATTTAGCGGCGAAACAACCGGCCGATAATTCGCATAGTGGGGGAGGGGGGGGGGGGGGGTAGTGAGCATTAATTTCTTTTTTGAAAATCGTGCCGGCCGATAAATCGCTCAGGCCCCCCCTCCTGGATCCACCACTGGTGTCCAACAATTTTCCACAAAATAACTAAAATTTCTATTGTACAAAATGTATGACTCCGGAGAGTCTTTGCATTTTAGAGTTCCTAGATAATATGCTTTCCATAAGACTCTCATTACCTTAGCCTGCTTATACACTCTTTCAATTCAATGGACTTGAAATTTCTCTGTATTTCTCTGCATTAACCTGTACAACTATAATTACTTTTACCTCATTTATCTCTAATCTTTTTTTTTGAAGAGCACCTAAAAAGATTGTAAAATAGGTGTTTGTAGTAATATTTTAATCATGAAGTTTGTATCGTTATGCACATAATCAAGAAACTAAGGTTACCTGTTTACGATTCTATTCCATATGGTGTTTTAATTATTATGATAATCAGAAAGATTTGATTGCCGTGCACTAATCAAGAACCTAAAGGCCCGGTCCCACTGCACTTACGGATGCAAAGAGGATGTAAAACGTAAAAAATCTTGCCATCCGTTGGAAAACGCTATGCATCCGTTGTGTACTCATTGCATACGTGTTTCATATGCTATATCCATCAAGCATCCGTCCACTTTGATTTCATCCGCGCAAAAAGTTTTGAGCTGCACAAAACTTTTAGAACGGATGAACTTCCGCCGTGTACGATGTAAATCCGCGACAAATACGAGCAACAAACGTTCTATGTCCGTTATCATCCGTTAAACGTCCCATGTATCCTCTCTGCATCCTCTGGGCATACTCACAACTCACATCCGCTGCAGCTGAAAACGGAAAGAGAGAGGAAAGATAAGGTACATGGAACGTCTATACATCGTTAGTAGCACGGAAATAGAAAGGATGTAAGCGTATGCATCTCGTATATAAAGTATTAAAAGCTGTCATCCACTTCCATCCGCTTTTTATCCGCTAGGCTTCCGATGAACATCATCGGTTTAACATCCCCGCTGCATACTACCCACGTCCGTTATTTTCCGTTCTGTTTTCGCAAATTTTCGCAATTTTTGTCCATTTTTGGAGCGGATGAAAACAGATGGAGCCACCCCCGAAATTTTGCTCGTACGCTTTGTCCTTTATGCATACGTTTTGTGTCCATCGGCCAGTGGGACCGGGCCATTAGTTTACCTGTTTACGATTCAATTCCATATGGTGTTTTAATTATTATGATAATCAGAAAGGTTTGATTGTCACGCACAATTTTATAATCCAGAACCTAAGGTTACCTGTTTACGATTCTATTCCATATGGTGTTTTAATTATTATGATAATCAGAAAGATTTGATTGTCGTGCACTAATCAAGAACCCTTACAATTCTACTATTCCAAACGGTGTGTTTATTGTAGCTTGTTTTATATGCTAAGGAGTATAATCAATCCATCGGAGTGAAACATGATTGGAATTAGTACATACAATCCATGATTGTGCAAATCGTTATCTGGGGGCAGGCAACGTTCGGTCAGATTTTAGCTTTGAACAACGTTTTGCGTAACTTTTTAAAGTTTTGTTAACAAAACAAAAACTATAGACGCCCTGTATATATTTGAAATGTTGGTTTATTTTGCTGAGAGAATATAAAAAAATTGTTGCTGAGACATGTTGAAGAAAAATGGTCTAATGGAAAAAGGAATAGATTACACTTTTCTGCTTATTATTGAATACAGGGAGGGGAAGTCCACCCTGATATTAAGTTAGCTACATTAGAAGCAGAACAAGAATTTGGGTTTTCTGTTGTACGCAGAAATTGTGTGTATTTTTTTTTATCAATATTCGACTTTAAACGCATTTGTTTTGAAAACCCTTGCAGAAATATGTCTTAAATTAGATCCTCTTTCACATAATGATACAATTTGAGTCAAGTTTTACCATCAAACTTTGGGGCTCCCAACGCTTGAGAGGCTCTACACCAGGCGCGGATCCAGGATTTCTTAGGGGGGGGGGGGGAGGGGGCCCAAATTTGAAATTATGCGACCCAAATATCGGTACGTAATGGTGACCTCCATTGACGTAATTTCCTAATTTCTTTGTTTTGCCATTGTTGGTGAGAGAGGCTGTAAGGCGTATTCATCTGCGCGCAATGTATTGTTGAATTTCTTCAAAAAATGTAATTTCTGTTTTTTACTCGGTAGCAAAACTTCGGGGGAATTAGGCAACTCCCAGCCCCCCCCCCCCACATCGAAGTAAATAATTTGAAAACACTAAAATGAACTTCACAAATAACAAAGAAATTGAAAGTTTATGAAATTTTCTGTAAAGAGCGATTTGGAGAGAAGCTCGCAACATTTGTCAATGTCTTACAAATTCCTCGGGGGTGATTGTCATTGGGGGTAGTTGTCTTTGGGGATAGTTGTCCTCGGAGAAGGGGGTAGTTGTACTTGGGGGAAATTGTCCTCGGGGGGTAATTGTCCTCGGGGTATGTCCTCGGGGTAGTTTTCCTCGGGGGGTAATTGTCCTCGGGGGTAATTGTCTTCGGGGGGTAATTGTCCTCAGGGGTAGTTGTCCTCGGGGGGTAGTTGTCCTCGGGGGTAATTGTCCTCGGGGGTAATTGTCCTCGGGGGTAATTTTCCAGGGGGTAATTGTCCTTGGGGGGTAATTGTCCTCGGGGGGTAATTGATTTTTCTCTGCGACATAAAAATTGGGTAACCCGACATAATGCTCCAGGGACGATTACTCCGGTGACAAATGCTCTCCAAAAGAGCGATAATTGCTCCGCTACATTTGCTCCGCGACATTTCCCCCGACGTCAAATGCTCCGCCGACAGTTACTCCGCCGACAGTTGCTCTATCGACAGTTGTTCCGACGACACTTGCTCCGGCGATATTATTTGCTCCATCGACAGTTGCTTAGACGACAATTTCTCGGCCGACAATTTCTCCGCATGAAGCGAGAAATGGTCCGGTGACAATGCTCCTCGAATGACAGTTACTCCGCCAATATTTGCTCCTACGACATTTGCTTTACCAATATTTGCTTCGACATTCAGAAAACGAAACAAACTGAAAAGAAACAAAAAAAATATCCCATGACAAATATATTGTCTGCGAAGCATTCGTCTTCCACGGGGCAATTTTTTTTTTGAGGACCAACTGTCGTCGGAGCAATTGTCGGAGGAGCATTGTCGGAGGAGCAACTGTCGGAGGAGCAAGTGTCGTTCGCGTAGCATTCGTCACCGGAGCATTTTATCGCTTTATGTAGAGCAATTGTCGGCAGGGCAAGTGTCGTAGGAGCAAATATCGTCGGAGCAATTGCAACTGTCGACGGAGCGACTGTCGGCGGAGCATTTGACGTTGGAGCAAATGTCACGGAGCAATTGTCGCGTTTTGAGGAGTAAATATTGGCGGAGCAATCGTTAGCGGAGCAAGCGTCATACACCTGTAGATTCACAAATTGACCACTAATCTCGATTTTAAAGGTATAACATAACTATTGAATTAACATTTTTTTTTAAATAACTGAATCTACAGGCGATCCTACAGATGTCTATACTCTCGTTCGAAACTATGTACATGTGTATGGTGGGTGGAAAGTGTTTTGTTTGTTTTTTGTGTGCCTCGGTGTGTGTTTTATGCCTTTGTTAAAAAGGAAGCAGGGATACAAGGTAAGAGAGGGCGAGAATGGAAAGGAGGGTGGATAAGAGAAAATTGTAAGAGAGGGAGAGAAAAAGATAGAGAAAGGGGGCAGAGAGAAATGGGGAGACAGACAAAATAGAGAGGGAGAGGGAGAGGGAGAGGGAGAGGGAGAGAGAGAGAGAGAGAGAGAAAGAGGGGGTTGAGGGGTATAGGGAAAGAGAGCGAGAGATAGGTAGACGGAAGGGGGAGGGCGGTAGGGAAATGGGGGTGGGGGACCTAAAGATTCACAGTGAGCATTCTCTCGATACCAATTCCTTTGAATATGTGCATTGTAAACGACTTACAAACAGATCTCTCCCGAAACAAACAAACAACAAATAAAGCCTAAAACCAACAATGACCTTTATATGAAAATGATGAACTTTTAAGAAAGCTGAGGAGAAGTAAAATGTTCATGATGTTACAATTTTTCAATCGGTTGTAAATTAGGTTCCCCTCCCACCCCTCCAGTGCCCACCTACCATGGCTACGGAAATTGAACGTTCAACCAGCCTTAAACATACTAAAGGGAAGTCATGGAGCCTTCATTTTCATTTTAAATCGTATTCAGTGACATGGACTCGGTATTAACCAAGCGTCTCATCGACTAAAGGGGTAGGACATTATCCTTTGGTCAGAAAAAAAAAATTAATGACGTCACACTTCACCACTCTATATTCTGTGCCAACAATACATCTGTTCAGTGCCCAAGCCACACCAACAAGACAGACATCGGATCGACTACAGACTGAACAAGACGTTTAAAGGGGAATTCCTTCCTGATGCTAATACGGTTTAAATAGAAGCTGAAAATGAGAGGAACGGGTCACTGTAAAATTGAGAAAATCCAATCAAAAATACGAAAGTCATGCATTTTTAAAGTTGCGCTTGAATTTCGAGGTTCAAACATTCAAACACAGTAGGCCTGATAAGCCTGTTTAGGTGTTCGATTTTATTCAGGGGAATTAAATTTATTGTTTATGGGATTTCTTATTGCCTTGTTTACAAATTCATCGGATAAAAAAAAAAATCACCGTATTTTCATGATGTTTACAATGACTGTTTGACAGAAGTTGAGGAAAATAAAACGAAGAAAATAAATTAGAATACTAGGCCTACCAAGTGGAGTAAGATAAATAATGATTAACTGGAAATGCATTCATAATCTGCTTTCAAGTAAATATAATTTGATTTTATTTAAAAATGTGATGAATGGTTCGTCGTCAATAATTATGAATGATGTTATCCGTGATTTCGTATCTAAATAAAGATTTTTATAAAAATAGAATAAAAAGACAATATAATCACTAAGTTCTTGTGTTTGTTTCCATCAGTGTTCTTTTTAAAGTACGTTCTGCAGGGTCTGTTTTTAAACCATTGCATGACATTATTGCATGTTTTCTTAAAGGTAATACAAAGTTTTGGTACGGGGTCATGAATTTGGTTCAAATGAACATATTGGAAGCATATGCGATCCTACAATATTCAGTGATAGTTGCATCCCCCTGGCTGCATCCTCCCTGGCTTGAAGTAGGGGGGATGGCCTGTACAAACATCCCCCCTGATATTACAACAAAAAGAGAGAAAAAAAAAGGAAAAAGAAGAAGAAAAAATGTGATTGTTTCAATTTTAGCATAATGCATGAGAAATGAGTTATTTTTGTATGTATGTATAACTGTATAGCCTACACGTATACGTCACTATCATTAAGAATAGTTTCGCGACGTGCGCGAACAAGCACTTCATAAACTTCAGAATAATAAGAATCCCACTATATACACAAAATGCATTGGGCCGCGCTCCGGCCGGCCGGTCACGCAGTCTTCTGCATATTGCACCGCATGCATGCTCCGCTCTCTCGCGCTAGCAATGCAGGAAAATTTTTCCCGCCCGCGCGATCTAGGGGAGATAGGGGGCCAATAGGTTACCGTGAAGACTGCACTGATCTTGATTGCGCCTAGTCCACTGCCTGGACTGTTCTCTACATGATCCGTGCTCGCTCACATAGTACACCATAATATACACGTACGGGCACACAGCCTAACGACCATAAGCTGGTCTAGATTGCGCCGTGTGTGGTCGAACGGTCAGTATAAAGCGCCGTTGCAGGTTAGACCGTTCCAGGAACGGTCTAAAGTTCGCCTTCTCGTCTTCTTTCTATAATAATTAAATCAAACGTCTAAGCTTTTCACGCGGGAAGGGGAAACTGAATTCAGACGAGAATTTAGAGTCGAGAACAGTACACCTAATCGTCTGCTTTCTCTAATAATTTAAGGAAACGTCAAGGCTTCCGCGCTTCGCGCGAGAGGGGGAAACTGGATTCAGATAAATAAGGCTTATTAAGAGTCGAAAACGGTACGACGAATCGTCTGCTTTCTCTAATAATTTAATGAAACGTAAAAACTTCCGCGCTTCGCGCGGGAAGGGGAAACTTAATTCAGACGAGAATTAAGAGTCGAGAAGAGTACACCCAATCGTCTGCTTTCTCTAATAATTTAATGAAACGTCAAAATTTCCGCGCTTTGCGCGGGAAGGGTAAACCGAATTCAGACAAAAATTAAGAGTCGAGCACGGTTTAACGAATCGTCTACTTCCTCTAATAATTTAATGAAATGTCAAAGCTTTCGCGCTTTGCGCGGGAGAGAGAGGGAGAAACTGAATTCATACAAGGATTAAGAGTCGAGCACGGTTCAACGAATTGTCTACTTTCTCTAATAATTTAATGAAACGCCAAAACTTTCGCGCTTTGCGCGGGAAGGGCGGGGGAATTCATACAGACAAGGGTTAACAGTCGAGAACGGTACAATAAATCGTCTTCTTTTCCTAATAATTTAAGGAAACGTCTAAGCTTCCGCACTTCGCGCGTTAGGCCTATGACCCACACCCCCCTAATGAGCGCGCTTTGCGCACTCTTTGAGTGATTCGCCTGCTCACTACCGCCCCTCCCTAAAATGAGATCCTAGCTCCGCGCCTGCATTAAAATATTTAGCTATGATGCTGACTAAGTTGACGAAATAATTCGTATACTTATGTCATCGAGGAAAATGACCATTTGCGCATACGCAAGTACTACAGACAGTCCGTAGGAAAAACAATTTAGCCTTCGGCCCCGGATATATAGGGTTAAATTTGTAAATATTGGGACATTTAATTTTGTCGGTAATTGGGGGCTAGTTTTGTCGGTAATCGTTGGCCTCTACACCCCCACTAAAAACGGTCTAGCGACGCCCCTTACCATTATACATCATTTTCTAAGTGATGGGACTCAAAATAAAGAGTTCACATCTTCCTGACGAAATACTCAATCTTTATGTTACTACTTGAAAGTGTGTCGTCTTATTTCGGAGTTCATTATAATAAAACACTACAGTTTGCAGCTGTCAGTATTTCGAAATTTATGTCCAATTCTTTTACTTTATGGTTGTCAAATTTGGCATGTGCGTGCACGTATGTATGCATGAATAAATTTATGTACGTGTGTTTGGGTATGTGGGTGTTTGTTGTGTGGGTGCGTGCGTGTGTGTGTGTGTGTTGTGTGTTTGTGCGTGAGCGATCGCGCGCGCTTGCGTAAATTAGTGTGGGCGTGTGCTCGTGCTAGTATGTGATGGCTATCGCCGATCATCCCCCCACTCCTCGGTACGGATTTACGCCCCTGCTTCTCTCACCCCTATTTCGAAACAGTGGACAAGATATTAGGGACTTTTAGATTCGCACGAAGACAATGGGGAGTGCTACGATCGACGTCCTTTTAATGCACTGCCTTGAATGGACGTCACACGTATCAGTCCACGCAAATCTAAAAGTCCCTATTATAACCTATAGGACGGGTCACTGAGCTAGAACTCTCAATCTGTCAGTCGCACGGCACGCTATACTGATCCATGTAGCCTAGTGGGCGTTTTTAAATTTTAGATAATCGACCAAGCACCTAGCTAGCATAATCGCGGGTCAGCGTGACTACCCAGAACCTTGATATTTCAACAATGGCAGCCAAGCAAACCGGAGTTCCGTCGTCAAAGGCGGGTGAAGCACTGTCGACCGACAAACTAGTCAATGATGACGGCTCCAACTCGGATAAGGTTTATCTCCGCCGTCAGGTGACCCTCATCGACTGCATCGCCCTGACCGTTGGCGTCATCATCGGGTCTGGAATCTTCATCTCGCCATCGGGAATCCTCCGATACACCGGATCACTAGGATGGTCACTTGTCATTTGGGTCTTTTGCGGGTTGCTCTCCATGATGGGCGCCCTGAGCTTTGCCGAGCTTGGTACCACCTTCCCCGTATCCGGTGGGGCTTACTCGTACATCCTCGAGACCTACGGCCCCCTCCCAGCCTTCTTGAAGCTCTATAATGAAATCGTGTCTTCATCAACCGGCGGCGTCGCCGTGCTAGCCATCGCCTTTGCCAGCTATGTCCTGTTACCAATATTCCCAGACTGCCAGGAGTCGTACATGGTTACCCGTCTCATTGCGGCAGCCATACTCTGTAAGTTCTAACAAATATCTACCCCTTTGTTCTGCTTAACTATTATTTTATTCTAGGCCACAGCACATATTTTTTGAGATCAATTTCATTTCAGTTTCCACCATTAGACATAAAGTACACGAAATGATTTTACGAGATGAACGAGTTAGTTCAAATGATTTGTTTAGTATAAGTGGTACATCCAGCAAAAGGTGAAACAGATTTTAAGGGAAATACGACCTAGAAAGCAATCTACACTAGAGGCAAGCAGAAAAAAAATCAGAAAAAGTTGACTAGTTAAAGTTAGAATCTTGGAATCGGACAAAAAGATGAGAAAGTTGTGAATTGTAAATTTTTTGGTTATTACCATATGTATGAGCTCTTCAAAATGGCTAAATCGGAAATGTCACTATTATGTACTGGCGGACAACTTTCCCGTTTTTTGTCCGCTTATAATGACTAAAATTCAATCTTTCAAAAATGTATGACTTAGGAAGTTTTTTCCTCCTAAGAGGACCTAATATAAAATCCATTTTTAATTTTGATTAGTGTCCCAAGGAAGAAGGCATTAAGGAAAAAAAAACGGAATTTAATGATATTTTTGTTATTCGCGATTATCTCACAATCCACTGGCCAAACTGCCAATTTGAGATTCACATAGACTTTAATAGTGATATCATATTTTAAACATTCATTGCTTTCGTGTAATTGGTTCGATTTTTTAAATACTTTTTCCATTCTGTCCACGTTATCTTGCTGCTTTCATACAAAAGCAGTTATTACCAGGATTAGACTGCACCTTTCTTTTTCGGAGAGGGATTATATATTCTGTCAATGTTTACCCATTTCACATGAATGACAATCTTTGGCTTTTATCTTGAAATAGTATGGTACCCCTAGACAATACTTTAATCGAAATGCTTATTCTGCTCGGCGGGAGTTGTTATTATGAAACTCTCAGTTTTTTTTTTGCTTGGCAGGGGGGGGGGGGTATTATGAAAATCTACTGTTTTATTTCCAGCCGATGTTGAGTTGTACGCTGATTTTGGAGAAGAGTGGTGCAATTTTGCCATCATTTAATATTGGATGACTGACTTTCATCCCGTGATGACATTCTCTCGATTTCTTCCCGTTCTGCACATTATTTCCTCCTCATTATTCGGAGCAACCTTTACATTCTTTCTTTACCAAGCCGCATAGCGGCGAGGCGATTTTTGTTTGTTTACTATTTTGAACCCCCGTAAGTGATGTTTACCAGGCATCTACTAGCATTTCCTAATACTGTGTGGGTCTGGATGGCGTTTTTCTATGAACATCACATTTTCACTTGGCAGCCCAAGGGGGGGGGGGGGGGGAGGTAAACCCCTTACCCCCTCCGCGTAGATCTGCCCATGTTACCATATCCTACCACGACATCTGTCTTCCTCTTCTTCTCAATAATAGGGACTTTTAGATTTGCGTGGACGTGTTACGTCCTTTTAAGCACTGGCAGTGCCTGAAAATGAGGTCACACGTTGCAGTCCACGTTCTCATCGTGCAAATCTAAAAGTCCCTAATATTGATTTACTGGTCGAGGTTCATTATTTGCTGGTCATTTGAGTTCCCCAGATTTCAGCGGATTCACGCTTTTCACAACGAAAAACTTCTCCATGACCATGTTTCAGCCCTTGCGCGATCGCCTCCAGCTCCAGAGGATATGGGGCGTGTACACGTACTGTTACTAACAGGGCGCAGTAGGCCTATGGCCACTGCTGACGGCGGCACTAGCTGCACTGCGAGCTTCCATTGTTTGAATCGGTAATAATACTCATAGAACGAGAAATCTTGCACGCTAATCTAAGTTCCATTTCATTGGTTTAAGGTTTGAAAATTGAAACTCAATATTGTGTTAAAGTTATAACAGAAAAGATAATCTTTATTATATAATTCTACGGGGGCGATTTTTACTTTTGCAATCGCCCCCGTGAGCAACCTGACGAGGGCGATTGTGTAGCTCACGGGGGCGAATCGCCCATCGCCCCCCCTTTTTTTTAGCGCTGGACTCATAATGATATCAAACAGAGAAAAGCAATTTATAATTTCTTGATGACTTCTTTACAATATACAAACGTACTTTGAACGCAGAAAACATAAAACTTTTTATTAGATGCAACTTGTCTTTTATAAACAGTTACTAATATATTTCTGTGTATAAGTTGTTAAGTCGTTAACATTTTGTAACACACTTGCATAATACAATGATATCGCTCACAAATTACTTTTCACATCTTCCCAGAACTCAACTTTGTCTTTAAGATCGAAATATGGGCTTCACAAAACCCGTGGGTTTTACACTCGTGTATTGGTCCACTTAATGACTACGAGCCAAACGATATCTCTTTTGTGCCTATACAAATTACGTGCCTTAAGCACAATCAGTATTTTCAATAAAACATTGCTCCACCATGAAAAATCTACACGTACCTGTATATATATTTTCATTGTAAATTTACACCAATGTTGAGAGCATGAATCAAGCATTCTAAATAAATTATCTATTAATCATTATATGCCACCATAGATGTTTTTTTTGTTTTGTTCAGGAAATTACAGATTTTGTAGAGAATCTTTTTTCCACATTTATTTTGAATACTAGTATTTAAAATGAGGGACAGAAATTTAAAGGGGAGGTCCACCCTGACATGAATTTTGTTTTTTTAAAGAAAAGTAGAAAAGTGACAGAAACAGGTCAGTGAAATTTTGAGCAATATCCGATTAAAAATAGGAAAGTTGAAATATAAAATTGTTCAAGTTTTCATCGGTGAAACACAAATAGGCAAGAATGTGACGTATCTTGCGAGCTCCTATCCAATTTACTCGTGAATGAGAATTTACTAGTGAACAAGGTGACATGTTTAAATATTGGGCAAATGGGAGGGGAGCTCGTAAGACACGTGACAGAGTTGCCAATTTGTACTTGATTGATCGCACCCATATACATTCATAACTTTTTTTTATTTTTAATCGGTTTTCGCTCACACTTACACTGGCCTATTTCTCTCATTTCCCACTTCAGTTCTATTAAAACCGATCAAGGTGGACCTCCCCTTCAAATTGTAAATAATTAAAACGATAAAAGAATAATTTGGTACGTGATCATTTTCTGTCCAGGTTTCAGTACATTCGTCAACTGCTACAGCGTCCCTTTCGTTCGTGGCCTCAACATCTTCTTTCTCGCGTGCAAGATCATCGGTCTCGTCGTCATCATCGGGTTCGGCATCGCTGCCCTGTTCAACGGTGAGCGGTGGTCTTGACTCAATTTGTTTTTCCTCAATATTTGTTGATATTACATAATTGCGATCGCATAGACTTTCGAAAATAGCTTCGTTCGTCGCCTATTGAATCGTCCGAACATGGCAATGGCAGTATTACGTAATCTGAGCTTCATTTCTACAGGCAGTACAAAAAAAAAGACATTGGAATTGTAATCAAGTTGATTTGTTGGGTGGCATGGATATTTTTGTACTCTATGGATGGCAGGGGAATCAATTTGTCACTCTATTTGGAGGAATATTAAAATCCTTACGTTTTTTAATTGAATCCAATATAACAAAATACAGTGTAATCAACTCCATGTTTTGGTTTGAATTACCCCCAAATATTGGAAGATGAGAATAAAACAGTTTTTTTCAACGTTCGAAATTTGTATCCGTGAGAATTGGTTGTTTGTACCAAGTCTATACACATACCATGTAACAGTTGGTGCTTGGAAATAGAAAAAAAAACGACACGGTTGCCAGTTATCAATCATCGGACCTATTATTTCTGAATCGTGTTGAACAACAGCTTATATAAGCGTGTTAAACACAAAACCCATTCAAACCTTTCAGCCCGTGATCATGAAAACTGATATGAAAGAAAGCGAGATAACCAGGTCCGAAGCAAATATATATATTTTTTTTAGAGTATGAAAATAGAAGGAAAAAAAGATTTTGTTGCCAGTTCTCAGTTACCGGGCCCCATTGTTAACAGATTATTTCTGAATTGCATTGAATTACACCATAATAATGTAAACACGGTAGACACAAAACCTATTCAAACCTTCCAGTCCGTGATCATAAAAAACCACCGTGGCGGAAAACGTGATTACCGGATGGATAATGTTTTAATTCAGTATCTCGGTATTTAAATAGACGATAGTGATTGGTAATGCAGATAGTTCAAAGGATTAGGAATGTTAAGTACAACTGAAAAGTACTATTTCTATACTCTATGATGTTTCAGGAAATATGGGCATGAGCAGTTTATTATGATTATGGAAAGGATGAGGGGAGGTGTGTGTGTGTGTGTGTGTATGGGGGGGGGGTCCAGATGTGTTGTGATGCACATGACTATCAATTTTGAAAGAAATTGTTGGATACAGGTATATCAACAAATAATGAAGGTCGGAAAGAATCTTTTCCCACATCATAAATATTCTTAGATTTTCACCAACAAAACGTGAATGTTTTGTAAAAGAAAATAATTTCAATTCAATTCAATTCAATTATGACGGGAAAAAAATCTTAATTTTAAGAAATTGATAAATATGCATCTTGAAGTTACAGGGAAAGTCAACCTTGATATTAGTTTGTGAAAGTTTGAGCAATATACGATTGAAATTAAGAAAGTTTTTGAATTCTTTTTGAAGTTGTCAATACTGAGACACATATTGGCAACACTGCGACGTGTCTTGCGAGCTCCTCTCCAATTTACTCAATACAGAAAATTTTACAAGCTGTCATTTTCTTAGTTATTGATGACGGAATAGATTTGATTCATACAGGGGTTGTATAAAAACATATTTGCATTTATTATATTTTGGGCGCATGTATGACTGAAAATTTCTTAAAGGGAAAACAATTATAATACTTATACTAACAATAGTAATGATAATGACGATGATTGAGATAATAATACTTATTTTAATAATAATAATAACAATAATAGTAATAATTGTTTTGTCAACAACAACAATGATACCATTTCTAATAATAATAATTATACAAATAATGAAACATATAAAAAAGAACAAGAAGAAAAAGAACAAGAAGAAGAAGAAGAAGAAGAACGTGTCTTCCAATAATTCATTCATAATTATTTTCCATTGCCAGCTGCCTTTAACATTTTGTTTATATCTTTTTGTTGTGATGTTTCTTTCATATTGAGTTATTAAAAACTTAATAAAAACAAAAAATGAATGACTAATAATGATAATAATAGTATTATGTCTAAAAAAAATATTATAGTAATGATGATAACGATGACATTAATAATCATAATAATGATGATGATAATGATGATGATGATAATAATGATAATAATAATGATATTGATAATGATAATAATGATAATATCAATGATAATATTTACATTAATGGTAGGAGTAATGATGATAATGATACAAATTAACGACAATAGAGCAACATAAGTGATGTAATTGATAAGATATCTTGCTGAATTTACCCCCCCCCCCCCCCCGATTGTTCTTCTCGGGTTATTTTCGGAAACAGGTATCGGGGATGTCTCCCATTTTGAAGGTGCTTTTGAAGGACCGACCAGATTCGAGACATTTCCACTGGCTGTCTACTCTGGGCTCTTCGCTTACTCTGGATGGTAAGATATTGAACAAAATAAAAAAGATAAATGACAAGGCGACACAATCAACGATGGTATTCGTTCATTGTATTTCTCTGCAATAGCGTGTGTACTTAACGAACAAAGGCCTTTTTATTGCGGTGTTAGAAAATATTGGTATTTACTTATCTGATCCCCATATCTAGGTTCACTGAGGTTTATGGGCATTCGACCAATGCCATGAGAATCAAGGCCATCGTCATTAAAACAGGTAAACTGACGAGCCGAAAGTCTATTTAAAATCGTTTAGGATATCAAACAAACAAACAAAGAAATGAACAACTAAAAGTAAAACGTACCTGACACATATACTTGGTCGAAGATATATTTAAAAATATATATTTAAAAGGATAACATCTGGAGTTAAGAGCTGTTTCACTTTAAGTCCAAGGAAATTTGAGCATTTTTTTACTCTTGAGATAAAAATCATGTTGCATAACAGATGCGAGTCTGGGGAAGGGGGAAGTCTCCTATCCCAGCCCAGGGAAATTGGGGCATTTTTTTTTTTTTTTTTTTTTTGGGGGGGGGGGGGGGTAATCTGAATTGATAGTCTATTTAGAGTCAATTGCGCTTTTACTCTTATAATTTTACACATATTTAAAGAATATTTTTGTTGTGCTCAAAACAGACTACAATTATACCAAGCTGGTGTTAAGTGTAAAATACTTGGGTGCTGTTTTAATTGTGATCTTCTCATTCGACACACTTTGAATACAAATTCAAATTTGGCAGATCCCACACCCTAAATGTACTTAACATTTTGAAGTTGTCGTAGGAATAGCATGAATCTTTTATCACTTTGTCTAGAATCAATGTGAGAAAAACAGTAAATATCTCCAGTAAGTTGAGGGAATATGATCAAGATTATAATTTAAAAGCGACAATTTTCATCGAGAATCGTATATTTGTACCGGTTTACGAGTTAATAAAAAAAAAATCACACAAAGCGATTCAAATTCATAAATTCACACAAAGTACATGTATTTCGATTTACAATTTGCTTAGAGAGCTGAATTTTCATGAGCATAATAAAAGGCCAAAGGTTGTATGCCTCGGGGTATAAGAACTTTGTAGCGGTGAGATTGTCAATATAGCATTTGCAAAGTTTAAATAGAAAGAGGCTACGCGTATAATATCTAAATTTTACTTTTTGTATCCTCACCAAATATGCCCAAAGAAACTAGATTCTACTTTAGACCCGAGCGAGCCATGGTCAGCCTCTCAACTTAAAAAAATAAAGGTTTATATAAAACAAAATGGAAGATTGAGCCTTACGACAATGGGATTTTTTTGCTTGTTTAATTAAAAACAAAAATAGGTAGTGAACTTTAGAAAGTTTAGTGTTTGTTCAGAGTTAAGAAGAGTGAGGATAATAAGATGGGGGAGAAGGGGAAGGGATGGGAAGTGTGTAGTACATCAGGAAATGTGAGGGTTTGCATGCCTTATGGGCCAACGTGAAAATAGTTGGAATCAATTTTCATATTAAAATTCTAATCATAGATCTTTCAAACATCTAGGCAGTGATATATTATGGAAAGATTATTTAACACCATCGAATACTGAGTAACATGTCTTCTCATAGTTTGTTTGTAATTTTATGGCTCAATATCATATATATTTGTAATACTTAGAAAAAAAAGATATCGTAGCCCTTTCTTGACAGTCATTTCTGTGAAGTGAAAAATTGCAATTGAATGTAATGACTTGAGTAATCATACCAAGTAATCATGGTAAAGTTAACAAGTTACTTTTATTTGGAAAAGCGCCATAATATACAAAACGAAACAAACCAACTACCAACAAAAAGCAATATACGATTCTCCTTTCCCGATTTCATTCTATATAGGCAGAATCTGTTTTCAGTGACAGAGGAGATTGTTCGGCCATCCAGGTAAGCTACTATTTCAATAACGCTATCCAACCATATTAGAATAACAATGTACACTACAAGTATAGTTTACTCCTGTGGTTTCTTTTGATTTGTTGTAGATGCTGTTTTTGCAGGGCTGTTGCAGGAGTGGGTCTAAAGGGGCACTGGGCGAGGGGCTTAACCCACATTTCTCTAAGCCCCAAATATTTCATTGACTATAAACATGATAAATGAATTTAGGTAAGACACATGTAGAGGAGGCGCGATAGCTCAGTCGGTAGAGCAGTGGTCTCGGAATCCCGTGACCAGGTTCGAAACCAAGTCGATGCGCTAGTGCCCTTTGGTAAGGCATTAATCCTCATTACCAGGTGACTGGTCCATCGAAGAGGACCTAAAGCCGTCGGTCTTCTATATATCCAAGTATCCAGGCCTGCAAGTATCAATGATTTCATGAACTTGAAATCGTTCTTTCTATCGAACATGAAGTTTCTTCGTTTAAACTAAAGCATCGGTTATGATTTTCAATTACTCCCTTCTACTTATTTTTCTTATTTGTCATATCGTTCTTAAGTAACCAAATTTCGACAACATACGTGCAGTTAACATCTAATTCTTCCATACCCCTTGCATTAATCTGATGCTTTTTGTGTTTGAATGAAGGTTGAATGGTTGAATTACGGCCTTTGTTGCAAACTTTTAGATGTGAGCTTTAATATGTCACACTCTCAAGAAATATAAATCGGAACAAATCATGTTTTCCACCTACTTACACAACTTGGTAAGGGATTGAATAATTTAGTTCTTAACTTTAAAAATAGCTCGGTTACTTCCTTTCTGTTTATGATAGACCACTTTAGAGATAACACATAAACAAATGACAACAAATATCCACTATCTGTTAAACATGTCCCACTTAGTGCCTTTCAGAAAAATCACTGCCAAAGTAATGTATATAGGTGCTTCCTGGCTACCTTTTGTTTGCCCTCTTGACAATCGTACTTTTACCTGTGTATCACAGAATGCACCTTCGATGCATAAATGAATGATACATAACTTCGTGAATCCATCAATACATCCATTATTACATTTTCTTTTTACAGTTTGGAATGACCATTATTCCCCCGTGCGCAAATCGCTTTGACCCCTCTTTCAACTCCATTGTGTTGTCCTTATACTTCACGTGTCGTGATTTTATTAAACCTGTACCTTATGTTATGAGTGTTTGATACACACTGTATAACAATGGAGCTATAGCTCCATGGTATAACCAAGGAGTTTGAAGAGATGGAGTCATATTTAGCTCATTCCCTTTGTACCATCTTCGAAGCCGCCAGGAGAAAACATATGTCAGGCATAGCTTAACTGGACCTTCCTTAGGAGCACTATTTTTTGTTTGGCCCTCGAAAATTTGAAAAATCGCAAAACCCCTTGTCTTGAGCGCCATGGGGGAGGGTGTCCATCTCCAAAAAAGGGTACAATTAACGTGTTTTTATACCTGTTTTTTCCTCCCTGAATCCGCTACTGCGGTTTCGAACCTCGGACATCAACGGTAACAGCACACCAGTAGATTATATTGTGCAACCTTAGGAAACGGCAGCTGCTTGGCATAATTTGTTACCAGTTGGGACTCCAGCTCTTAAAACTCCTTGGTATATCTGTGCAATCGCACAAAGTATCGTAGGTCACTCAGTTGTGTAAATTTGTTTTCATCCAATCCGAATGATAAAGTATATTTGTTATGTATATATATATATATATATAAATATATAATGGCCATGATTTTAGGGCCCCCGGATTATGAAGGCACCACCCTCCGTATGTATATACCTCCACTTCATCGGCAGATCCTGCCGCAAAAGTTGTCTCCTACGCAGAGCTTAGAAACCTCCTTCAATAAACCAATTTGAGCATATTCAAATTGATGGATGTTTCTTTCCTGGGGACCTAGTTATGAGTTATTCCATTAACCTTTTAGAAATGAATAATACTTGGAATCCAGTGAGCATACATTGGATGTTGCTATGTCGAGCAAGCATGGGACAAGCATAACATTTGAATATGTTCGTAAACAGGTCTATAGATGGAAAAAGCCTATGTCACACGAATGATTAATGCCGTCTACGACTAGTAGAAGGAGCGATATTTGTTTTAACCTTGTTGGGCGAGCGACATGCATAGATTACTTTTACGCATCTCAATAAGAAAGGGCTATAAAATGCTCATACAGGAAAAATAGATCATACAATTATTATTTGTTGTTGTTTATTCGTTGTGGATTTGTTTGGGGTGATACATTTTTTCATTAAATACATGAGACATTGTAGTACATTCCATGTTGATTATTTTTTTGTATGTATTCATTTTTTGCTTGTTTTGATTTTCGATTTTAATTCATAACTTTTCGATAATCCATCTTTTCAAAATTTGTTTATGTGAAGAAATTTCCTCGTTTAGTGCATGAAATGTTTTACTATTCAACTATGACATTTCTATGTATTTTAATTATGTTGTCACACAGTAGCGTACGCAGGATTTATTTCAAGGGGGGGGGGGGTTAAATTTTTTAAATCGGGCCGAATCGGGGGGGGGGGGGTTGCTCCAAAATACACACAAACAAAAAGAGTGAAGGGGGGGGGGGTTTAACCCCCAAACCACCCCCTGCGTACGCGCCTGTTGTCACATAATTGTATATATCAAATAACAGTTATTTTGTTTTTATTTTTATTTTGAAAGTTGAAAGATCAGTTCAAGTTCAAGATCCCCTGCAGCCGGCATTAACAAAAAAATACTCCTCGGTCTATTTTACTAAATGCATGACATAACTGATGAAGCGAAATCAATGTATTTTGTTTATGTATAGAACGATCCCAGTCTCGATCATCACTTCGCTTGTGATCGTGATGGTTGTCTATCTCTCGGTCAATATCGCATACTTCATCGTCTTGAGCCCATCGGAGATTTTACTTTCCGATGCAATCGCTCTCGTAAGTATTTCTTCATACCATTTTCGTAATGTAATCAAATTAAAGCCTAGTGACAAATCATTTTATTACCTCTTACAAATCATTTCATTACCTCTTACAAATAATCATATTTCAATAGTCAGGATGCGATTAATTAACATTAATTGTTGCAAGGTAGGACAAACATAATGGATTGTCCTATTATACCTAATTACACGTAATGTATTCAATTCACATTCTGAATGTTGAAATGCCTATATTCGTAACAGGTGAATGACATCATCTGTAATGAGGCACTTAACACAGATTTCTGCATTAACTTCGAGTATATTTCGAAAATGGCATTTTGTGTAAATACAATGATGTTGCTTCCGAGAACCAGAAGTTAGTTAGTTTTTTCTACTTTGATAGGAGTAAACGCCCCCTGGTTCTCAGCTCGACGGCAAAACGTCCAAACTGCGCATGCATGAATCTCGACGATGTATGCGCGCTTGGAATCCTGGGATTGAATAAGTTGATCTTTGATTCTCAACACTATTCACATGCACAGGTGACACAGCGCCCGGCAAACTATTGCGATTATTCTGAAAAATCGCAAGACTTACCTCGAATTGGATCGCGATGCGAACTGTGAAGTTTAGTAAAATTATTCTGTCCACACACGCAAAAAAAAAGATTTTTGGATCGCGATGCAAAACGCTCCTTATGACTGATGATAAAAAAAGATTTATGTAATCAGAAAGAATTAAACTGGTGACCCAAATAGATGTTTAATCCGTTTACACGTATTTTTTAGGCATAGATCTAAATTTAATTCAGATCTTATATCGTTTTCCTCGACTACTGGACGGCAGAATTTACCATCGTTTAGACAGTAAGAATCACCTTGGTGAAATTTGAAAACATTATTTCCTCACGTCTTTAATTAATTCAAATTTGTTTTGTTTTGTCTCCCCCATATACATTGTAACTTATCAATACAGACGATAGGTAATACTATAAGTTCATGGCTTTTTACAATCCCATATATTTACATTAACTTGTTTGTAGTCTAATGTTATTCTGTATTTCGGTTTTGTTTTTGTTGATTTAATTCTAATGTTTAGTATGTCATTAATGTATTGATTATTCACGGCTAACAAAAATAACAAACAACCAAATTTGCGTTTATGTCGTGGCTTTATTAACATTTTGAGATGGACGCTTATTTTGCACATTTTGATTTTCTGGGTGTCATAACAACATAACACAGATATATTGAATCATAAAAATTGCTTACAAATGCAATGCTAGGCCCCCCGCCTATGAAATCGAGTGATGCCTAGGCTAAACTTATATACATTAAGTCATTATATCAGCCCCCCGCCTATAAAATCGAGTGATGCCTAAAGTTATGCTAGGCCCCCCCGCCTATGAAATCGAGTGATGCCTAGGCTAAACTTATATACATTAAGTCATTATATCAGCCCCCCGCCTATAAAATCGAGTGATGCCTAAAGTTATGCTAGGCCCCCCGCCTATGAAATCGAGTGATGCCTAGGCTAAACTTATATACATTAAGTCATTATATCAGCCCCCCGCCTATAAAATCGAGTGATGCCTAAAGTTATAGAATATAGATGTATATATATACCAGCCTCTCCGCCTGTAAGATCGGATGATGCCTAAGATTAAAGCGCGACACCCTGAGTTTGAAAGTGTGTAGGTACAACTAGGTCCCCCCGCATTCAAATCGAATGGGGGCCGGAAAACTAAGAATTGACATGCAAACAAATTCGACTGAATATACATTGGCAACCCCCTCGCATGTAAAAATTGAGTGGGGTCGAAAATTATCGGATGACAATTATTGATCAATAAACTTATCAGTACTATGTGATTAGTGATTTACCCATACAAAACCGGGTAGGGGCGAAACCCAATGGGAAAAATTCCCCTACGGCCCACTTTCTTTGTGCACGACGCAAGTTGATGTGCGACCAGGCCAAATGCCCCCGGCTCTGCATTAACTTCATAAATCACTGACCAATTCATTACATAAACCCTATCCGTACCTTTCATACCTGAAACCCTAAATCCTTTCCGTACTAATACGTATACCTTGGCTACTTCGAACCACCAAGCAATACTTAATTTATGCCACTAATATACTAAAAATACTTTTATTGGTGGAGATAATGGGGAGGTGGTGGGAATGTTTTAGACTCCGTAAATTTTTCTTCTTGTCCATTCAAAATGAAAGCCATAACTAGAATGAAAGCCCCTTCGTGCTATTTTTAATTTGCTGGCGGTATTTTCCGCGCTTGCTTGATAAGCGTACATACGCTTGTACATTTCCTTCCAATGTAATACAAAGTATTACATTTCCTAGCGCGTGAATTTCCCTCAAAAATGTAAACAACCTCTTGACCTACATTTTGTCAGCCTGTCAATAAACCATTTTAAATCGTTGTCTACTCTTTAAATTTTATTATTCACGGCTAACAAAAATAACAAACAACCAAATTTGCGTTTATGTCGTGGCTTTATTAACATTTTGAGATGGACGCTTATTTTGCACATTTTGATTTTCTGGGTGTCATAACAACATAACACAGATATATTGAATCATAAAAATTGCTTACAAATGCAATGCTAGGCCCCCCGCCTATGAAATCGAGTGATGCCTAGGCTAAACTTATATACATTAAGTCATTATATCAGCCCCCCGCCTATAAAATCGAGTGATGCCTAAAGTTATGCTAGGCCCCCCGCCTATGAAATCGAGTGATGCCTAGGCTAAACTTATATACATTAAGTCATTATATCAGCCCCCCGCCTATAAAATCGAGTGATGCCTAAAGTTATAGAATATAGATGTATATATATACCAGCCTCTCCGCCTGTAAGATCGGATGATGCCTAAGATTAAAGCGTGACACCCTGAGTTTGAAAGTGTGTAGGTACAACTAGGTCCCCCCGCATTCAAATCGAATGGGGGCCGGAAAACTAAGAATTGACATGCGAACAAATTCGACTGAATATACATTGGCAACCCCCTCGCATGTAAAAATTGAGTGGGGTCGAAAATTATCGGATGACAATTATTGATCAATAAACTTATCAGTACCATGTGATTAGTGATTTGGAGGCATAATTTGACAAATTACCGCCAAACGAGAATATATTTATATATGATCGGCCGCCAAATCACAACGTTGTCATCAACGATTTCTGTGCACTAAGGGAATATCCTTGCTTAACTATTTACACTGGTGGAATTAACATTTCAATTGGCCAAATTAACCAATGTACATGTACAGGCATGTACTTTTTCGCCCTTAGCTAATTTATAACCCTATAACAGACTACAGAGTATCGTAATAAACTTATCTCTACAACACCGGCACATCATTATGCCTAATTCATTCCCCTCAAAGAAGTGACTAAACCGTTAATGCCCATTTCGAAATGAAGCATTCGCAAAACTGGTCATTTACCAATGTCCACCTAAACCTGCCCCATATAACCATTATTTACTCTCCACAACTTTGTTACTCCCAAAATAAGGCACTCTTATCCCAACAACAAAAACATGATCTTGCGGTGCCGGATTCAAACTTTTTTGCGGGATTTACTTTGCTACCCGAACAGACTTAAACATTGAAATATAAGAACGCTGAAGTATAAGAACACTGAACTATAAGAACATTGAAATATAAGAACAAACAACGTGTTTTGTAACATTATCATTGTTTAACTACTTGGATGAACCGAGATAGGACAGGCCTTCCTTCAGGTCAATGATAAACCTGTCCAAACCCTCATTGGAGAGATGCAATCCGTCCGGCCTATATAAAGCCCTATCCTTATGCCTTATGTCGGGGTGTGGAATGGCCTTTCCCTCATTCCTGCCGGCCAAGGCGCGAGCGTATCGGTTCGTGGCCCTCCTTCTATCGTCTAATTTTTCCTGCTCTCCGGACTACAGCATTTATATTCTACCCGTTCTAGGATGTCAGACCAGATTATTGTCGTCTCAGTGTTCGATGTGATTAATCTGTTCACCGCATTCGCCATCGCCCTCTTCGAACATCCCTCTATGTCATTCGTGCCCACGTGTAACACTAAAACGGTCGGCTTCGTCAGGCCACTGGTAATCGACTCTAGCCATGCGTTTGTTTGGTCCAAGCGAAGGCCCCGCTTTCCAGCCCAATGGATGACCGTCCTCAAATCCATATCGGCGCAGCCAGTCCGCTCCGCCCTGCGATGGGCCCAGAAAACGATAGAGTCGCCTACTATCCATATTTGTTCTGTGGACAAAATAAGAAAAGAGGACTGGGCAGCATTTTGTATTCCAAAGAACATGCGTTAATGTGAACTTGAAATCCCATTGTTGCAATGACGACCTTCGTCATTGCCTTGTTTTCGTTCACATTCTGCCCCATTAATATTCTCCTGGTTTTCCTTATCGTCCAGAAATCCCATTCGTTTTGCACGTAATGCTTGTCATCACTAATTATGCCCTTTCCTCATGTCCGTTTCCTTTCAAATTTCATAGGCATAGTCTCTAACATCTCATCAAGGTCACTACATTCTTCGATTTTCGAAATCACTCATGCATAACCGTCCAGGCGCCATTTTGTCCGTTTCTGGTCCATTTTAAGGCCTTTCTTTCTTCCTTCCTATCTCCACTATCCTAGATCCTACAAACTTCTAACAAATTCCTCTAGATAGTCTAAGAGATGTTCTTTTGTCTGCGACGTATAACCTGACCTTCAAAATGCCATCTTCGTACTCAAAATTCAAATCCGAAACCGACTTGAACTTCTTGAAAAATGGACCCCTAAATAATCTAAAACTGCCATAACTTTCTCATATGAATCCCGTTTTGTATTTAAATCTCACAGTATCTTTATCTCATAATTGCATATAGCCATGCCAAATTTCACGCTCCAATGGATTTGCACAACATAAATAGCGCCCTCTAAAGTTTTGGGAATTGGCTTTCTCTCTGTGGCCGCATCTCCATAATGGCTTGGCAAACCTGTACCCTTTTTTTTTTTGGATTTAGATACTTGATGATACGCCCTTTCCAGCCATTTACAAAATTATATACCCTATCCCTGACCAAATTTGAGAAAATTGCCCTCCAAATTCGCCATTTTCAAGAAAATTCTGAAATAACTTCAACTTGCTCTAAAATGGCGATCTTTATACCTAAATCAATGAAACTTGGCAGACATATGTATCCTTATACGTGACAACTGTTTACCAAGTTTGGTAAAATTCGAATATGTCGGCGCAAAGTAATCGCCAAAAATGCTGAATTTACTATGCATTACATAATAGCGCGTTTAATGCGTGCAATACATTGCGCGAAGATAACAATGGTGTCAAACTGACCGCAATGAAGTGCCCTTTCGAATGATACCAAGTATAGTATATGTTCACACAGAAAATTGTGAATAAATCGCATTTGAACAAAGGTCACTACACGAATTCCGCCGAGTTTCCGCCCGAATCTAACACGTATCGGCTATGACGTCATTTTTTCAGACTGCTTTTTGCCCCTTAAACGTCCTTTTTTTTTGAAAATTTGCAGAGACATGCCGAGTTCCAATACGCAGGGCACCTCTTGGCCGGATTTTTAAAATTGGTCGATGGGGCTATAAGACGCCATTTTGTCCTATAAATCTATTTTAAATCACGTGTTTCGATAAGATTATCATAGAAAAAAAAAGAGAGTAGTTTACAATAACAATCATGAAATTCTCTTTCTAATGATACCAAATACGGCCCATAAAGAGACATAAAGAGAGAGAGAAAAAAACAATTTAACTCCGGTCATAATACAGATCCGGTACGTTTTCCGCTCATGCATTACACGCATATTCTATGGGGCATATCGGGTTCACGCTTTTGACCCCAAGAACGATCTTTATTGCAAAGACGACCATGCATCAAATCCCCTTGGTTTTTGCATGCAGTGCTTGCGAGCCCTTACGTCCTTTCCCCTATCCCAATTTCTTTCAAACTTCGTAGGCATAGTCACTACCATCCCATCAAGGTCACTGTTGAGGCCTTTCTTTCGCCCTACCTCTCCCCACTATCACAGAAGCTACAGACTTCGTACAAATTGCTCTGGATAGGGCAAGAGAAGCTCATTCGTTTGACACGTAGAAACACGGCGTCATTGCACGCACATCGTTGTGACACGATTGCATTTCTAGTGTTTTCTTGCTCTTGTTCTGCATGTATGTTTGTTGTCTGCTTGACTTCGTTTTCATTTTCATGTTGTAGCACCATTATTAGGTGGTCTGTTGAAAACAGATCACCTATTGTTTTCGTCAGAATTTTCTTTATTATTATTATTATTCTTTATTTTTATTTATTTCCTACACTTTTTTGTGCCTAGGATAACTCAAGTTCGGTTTCGTCAATTTCATTCAATTTTGGCACAGTCATAGGTCATTGTCATGAGACGTGACAGGAACATTTTCAAGGTCATCAAGTCATCGTGACGTCATCCAGGCGCCATTTTGTGAAATCCCATTATCCATCATATCTTCATGATGCATAGGCAAAGGTCATTCATATCCATATCACATATATTTCAGGTCAAGGGTCTAAAGGTCATGTCATCAAAGGTCACATAAAGGTCACGACGCGCGCGTACGTGCGCGTCAAAATTTAAAAATGCTCAAAATCACTTAACTATCAAAGTAGAGTACGAATCAGGTCATTTTAAGCATTTCAAAATTTTCCGTCCGTAAGTGTCCACGCGCGCGTTGCGCGCGCTCACAACGCGCGGAAAAGGTCAAATTCCTTTTTTTTTACATGATTTAGATTCCTCTTACCGTAAATGACAACTTACATTAATTTCAGTCACTCTTGACCTTTCATAAGGCCGTGAGCGCGCGTCAAAGTTCAAAATCCGCGCGTACTGCTATGGGCAATATAATGCAAATTTGATCAAAAACATTCCATTTTAAAAATCAAAATAGCTCTTCAGATAGTCAATTGACCCCAACTTTTATATCATGGTTGGAAAAAGCATGAGTTGGAGATATGATTTCATGTCTCATTTGACCCTCAATTAACTCATGACGTCATCATAATGGCCTCCAAACTCATAATTTCAATTTGCATATTATGACGTCAGCAGATTTTTGGAAAATTGATTGTATCTCTGTAAATATTGATCAATTTTCTTTCGAATTTTGATATGTTCTACCTGAGAATATTCTCTACAAATGTAGTCATCACGATATTTCATTTTGACAAAGGCATCATGGCGTAATTTTGCGATTAAAGGAGGCATGTCAATTTTTCACATTTTGCGTGTATTCTCTATAGGACATGACTTTTTCTCAAAACTGGATTCTACATTCTCGTCTTTCGCGAGCAATATCTCCGTCGTTTTATCTTTGTTTATGCTGAGCTTTGAGTATGTTGTAGCTGAGACAATAAGCTTTCACAAAATGCCCTTTATTTTTCGATCAGATGCCGGGATCATGCTCATATTTCACTTGCAAAGTGGGATTTGAGAATTCCATTTTCCGTTTACGTGTAATCGCTAATAAGGGAAATGTTTTGGTATATCGGTAACGCACTCAATTGTTCATTTTTATTTTTCCACCACTTTCTTGTGAGCGTGATTGCTCAAATTTGGGTTGATCAATTTTCATCAATTTGTTGTCAGTCATCAGGCTTATCAAGGTCAAGTGCAGGCATTTTTTTTTAAGGTCATCAGGTCATCGTTACGTCATCCAGGCGCCATTTTGTGAAATCACATTATCAATCATATCTTCATGATGCGTCATCAAAGGTCATTCATATTCATATCACATATACTTCAGGTCAAGGGTCAATAGGTCATGCCATCAAAGGTCGTATAAAGGTCATGACGCGCGCGTACGCGCTCATCAAAATTTCAAAATGCTCAATATCACTTAAATATTAAAGTACGAATACGAATCAGGTCATTTTAAGCATTTCAAAAATGTCCGTCCGTGCGCGCGGCGCGTTCAAAGCGTAAAAACGCCGTTTTTTCGCATGGTTTGTATTCCTGACACTATTTTTGACAATTTTCAACTATTTTCAGTCATTCTCGACCTTCCATAATGCCACACGCGTGCGTCACTTTAAAATTTGTGCGCTTGTCAAAGGGTAATATAATGTTAAAAGTGGTAAAAACATGTCTATACAAAATCAATTGTATATCTCTTTAGGATGCAAGGTGACCCCAATTTTTTCTCATTTTTTGATAGAGTATGAATCGAGATATGATTTCATGTCTCATTTGGCCATTACAAATGTTTTGAGGTCATCATGCCCTTGGAACCTAAAATACGAATTTGCATATTTCGACGTCAGCATATTTCTGGAAAATTAATTGTATCTCTGTAAATATTGATCAATTTTCATCCAAATTTGTAGCTTAGATGATTGTCTACAATTTTCATTTTGATGAAGTCATCATAGTGAAAATTTCGATTAATGGCGACATGTCAGAATTTTTTTAATTTGCGTGTTATGCCTTGTACGGAAGGTGAATTTCGTTCACGTCATGCATCTACATGTCATTGTTTTTTTTTAGCAGTATCTCGCTTATTTTTGCTCTATTTCCCCCCAAATTGAAGTATGTTATAGCTGATACTATGAGCTATAGTGTGCCCTCCGTTTTTTGATCAGATGTTGAAATCATGTCGAAATTTTCAATTGAAAGTTGAAATAGCGACTATGCCTAGGCCGTTTGTCAGCTTTGCATGTATTGTCTATGGGACATATTTTGGTATATTGGTTAAAGAACAAGCTTCCATTCCGGTGAGCCAGGTTCGATTTCTGGTGGGTCAATTTTTTAAAAATTTGCTTTCGTTTATTTGATTTTATCATTTTCTTCGACTACTACCTCTCTCTCTCTCTCTCTCTCCACTATTTCTATTTCCACTATTGGTTAAAGAACAAGCTTCCATTCCGGTGAGCCAGGTTCGATTCCTGGTGGGTCAATTTTTTTTAAATTTGCTTTCGTTTCTTATTTGATTTTATCATCTTCTTCGACTACTATACCTCTCTCTCTCTCTCTCCACTATTTCACCCTCTCCCTCTCTTGCTCTGCCTCCCTCTTCTTTCTGCTCTGCATGTCTCCCTCTGTCTCAGTGCCTCTCTCTTTCTCTACTCTCTCACTCTCTACTTTTCCCGCCTTTGGCTCCAGTCCCTCTTTTATGTCTTATAGGATGTTCCTTAATTTCCTCTAGCTCTTTCTTTTTCCCTTTGTATTCTTATTTCACCCCTACCATGTTTCGTTATACTATCCTCTCTCCTTCCAACGGTATGCATTCTTATTTCTCTTTCATCCCTCGTATAACCGTC